CCTCCCAAGCTGAACCCACTTGCATACAGTAGACGCAGACCTTAAAGCATGATCCCAGATGTTAAACTAGATCTGCTGGCAGATACTCATCACATCCAGCTGCACACGGGGCATGTATTCCAAAAAAGAAAATTCACTTCCATCTGCTTTGCACACAAACCCTGGAGCACTCGAGTTAACACACCAGACAGCTGCGGACATCAGCTGTCACGCTGCAAAATGTAACTTTTGAAGTTTAGCATTAATGAAGAAAATTTTAAAACATGAACTGGACAGAAAGTGATCACTTTGGCTATTGGTTTGAGGAACAAGAAAGACTGCAGCCAACCTGCTCACATTCTTGCCCTCTGTCTTCAAGCACTGCTCTTCCCAAAATTCGGAGCAGATCCAAGCAATTTTCCCTCAAAATTTAAGCCACGGAAAGAAGAATGAACTGCTTGCACAAACCTGTAGTATTCCTGAGCACCATCAGAGTCACAGAAATGACAGAAATAATGATCTCGTCTGAGGTGTTTCAGTAACTCGTCATTATCCAAATAACGCTCGTCACAAAATTTACACAAGGGATGCCCGCGGTGAGAGGTGTCATCCGGATCCCCGTGGATTCGGTGGCGGGCAAGGTCCTTACGAGAGTACCACTTCCGTTCGTAAGTAAAAATCTGAAGGAAAAAAAAAAAAACACCAAAAAAGCCACATATATGTATCACCTCTTGTGAACAGAGAACAAAATGGAATAAGCCGGGTCATGCACAACTTGTTCATGTGTAGGAGCGGAAGATTTGCTTCAGAAAGATGTAATTTGACAACTGACATCTAAAATTTTCAGCGGATAGGAAACAAAATTCAAGTGATAGATCCAAATTAAATCTACCTTGCGTTTCCCTCAGTTTGAACATTGAAAACTGATCTAATTCAGCTTTTTCCCTTTCGCGTTTTTTGGGGGGGTATTAACATAATGCAAGAAACTTTAAATTAAAATCTCTGGTGGGGAAAAAAATCCTCCATATGTATTTATTAACATACAGTATTTTGAATCCTTGGACTAAAAAGCCCCATAAACCAGAAGTGAGCTGCTTCACTTTCCTCAGAGAGCAACTACCTCAAGACAGCTACACACAACCCATACAGTTCAGTGAACAAATTTTGTATTTTAAGCCATCTCTGTCCCTACTGACACATAAGCTATTTTGGTAGGAAGGGTTCTGAAGATGCCAAGAAGCTCAACACATCCTTGAGAGCAGAATAACCTTCATCTCTCGCCCAGACGAGGACTGTTAACTGGGAAAAGGTTCACTTGGCTTCGCTAGGGCTGACTGGCTGAAGCTTCTGTGAGTTTAAGAACTTCTTTTCAGTGGGTACTACTGAAACGGACCATTCTTCTGTGAAACAAAAATCTCTGCAAGATTCTGAAATTAAAAGTCAACAAGTTCTACTATTGTTTGTGGATTCTCTGCGAGAGACAATGACAAACAAGTCCCTTTAGAGCTGGCGACTTAACCCGACCATGGATTCTCTTCACCAGAGCTCAAAGGACACTGCAACCCCAAGTGGCCGTGTCCTCGCCCGACCACCTCCCCTGAACGAGCTCTAGTGATTGCACGATCACAGGAGAGAGTCAGATCAGTTCACTGAAAGCTAACCCTGAAAAAAAAAATAACAAAAAAACAAACCCAAAACACCAATGTATTGGCATTCATCCAGGTCAACCTGACCACTTCTGGATCCCGTCCCTGTCGGCAGGAAACTACAGTCCTGTTGGCACAAACCAACTGTGGCACCACAGGACAAATGCACTTCTCCCATCTGATACTTTACTGGTTTCAGAGAAACAAACACATGTACAAACCCACGTGTAACGAGTTCTAAAAACGCGTATTCAGGCGTTGAATTCCCTCCTGCAACAACAAGGAATGCTGACAACGGCCAGACACAGAGGTTGGCAGTCCCAGAACTCATTTAACAGCAGCTGCTGATTTTGTCTGATGTGTAATTCAGAAACACAAACCCCACTCTAGCTCCAGGGAAAGCTGGAGTTCTGACTGTTACACCATGAAAAGCCATCGCCTGACCGACATCCCACCAGCCCTTCTAAGTGAAATTTGGGTGGGATTAAAAAAGAAAAAAGGATGATGATGGTGATGGTGAGATGAGTAGTTTTAAGGCTCAACACACACGACCTTTTCAGACATAGATAACTCAGCTTTCCAGTAACTGTTTTATCTTTAATAGGTTGTAAAATCCATTTTAGACCAGCCCTGGTCATGTTCTACGTGCGCACATCAAACACAGCAGACCAACCGCAGGCAACAGTGAGCTTCATTTTCCAATCAAGTCAACAAGGCACAGGAAATTTGCTCTGAACAAATAGGCAAGATGATGAAATATAATTATATTTCATTAAACCAGCAAGATGGATTCTCATCCTGTACATGATGCAACTACAAATGCTACACTGACCCTGGTCTGAGAAATAAGTCCACAACTCCACGATGCATTCTGCTTTTTGAACTGGCATCAAATGTTTTCTTCAGTTACAGTTTCAGCTCGCAGAAGTTGTTGCGAGTGTAAGTTTTAATAGACACTGAGTCTGTACCATTAGAGTTGCACCAAAGTCTGCCTACGACTCAGGATTAACTTCCTAGCAGACACTTAGGGTTTGGTACTCACACACGTTGGGGCAGAGGAGCTGACATCAGAAGGTTATAACACAGTTGGACTTAATTTAAAATATGATCCACTGAGAACCTGAAGGCATTCTTCATTAGTCAGTTTATGGAAGAAGAAAGACTTTAAAACAAAGCAACTGGCCTCACTGCAGGCAGACAGAGGAAACTTTAAAAATAAATCAGTGCTGTTCAGCCATCCCCTTCTTCCCACGTTCCCGAGTAATCTTGCAGGTCGTATAAGGAAGCGCCCCTCCTTCCCACACATTAAAACGTACAACTGGCTCACCTTTAAGTGTTTAACACAGAGTTTGCAACAGAAGAGCTCGTGCTGCTTCCTCATGTGCTGTTCCAGGTCTGCAAAGGTACTGAACGGCTTCACGTCCGGACACAAGGAGCATTCATGCTGCAGCAGCTTCCTAC